TGATATACTAATTTCTTTTGATATGGATGAAAAATAACAAAATTAGACTTTTTTAAATTAAGACTAAGTTTATTTGAACTAAGCCAGTCATATAAATGACAAAGTTCTTCATTAACAATTTTTTCAAGAGATTTAACTAAAGGTCTTTTTCGGAATAGAGTAGATTTGTATCATCAGCAAATAGGTAAAATTTAAATTTCTTAGAGCAATTTTCAATATAATTAATATAAAGCAAGAAAAGTAATGGACCCAAAACCAATCCTTGAGGCACGCCACACGTTATTGTAGCCTTTTTGGATATGTGATTACCAATTTGTGTAGTTTGCGTTCTACCATTTAAATATGAACTAAACCAATCATTAATTATTCCTCTAAATCCGTAATAACATAATTTTTGTAAAAGAATTTCATGATCAACGGTATCAAAAGCTTTTTTAAATCAATAAATACTCCACACGAAAATAATTTCTTAGCCATATTTGACTGAATGGTATTAACAATATCAAGAATTGCATGTTCAGTTGAATGCAATTCTCGAAAACCATACTGACAAGAAGAAAGGATAGCATGTTTTTGAATAAAGCTCTGCATCCTTTTATACATCATCTTTTCAAAAAGCCTATTAAAATTAGATAATAGCGATATCGGCCGGTAATTATTAGCATCAGTCCTGTCATCATTTTTAAATATTGGAATGATTTTTGACATTTTTAATTTGGATGGATATACTCCTAACCATAGTTAATAGAGGACAGGGTTTGGAAGGCCGGCAAACTTCAAAGGCTTTCGAGCTAATTAATTTCAGATGTTGGAAAGGTACGTCACGTGACATTTCGGGTGCATCAAATTCAGAAATTACTATAGCGTAGTATTACAGAAATATGATATTGTGCTTATAAATTTTAAAACAAGGCATTGTTGTTCTTGTTATGGCTTCGACAAGTTCGGCATACGATTCAGAAAGCAAAATTCACCCAATTCTGGGTGCTGGAGACGCAGATACAACGACGGAGGCGATTTTCATCAAACTATTTAGCTGCTGCAAATCAACGCGGATGAATTAACTGGAGAAATATCGGTCAGCACTTGTTTCCAACCACCAAACTGACATGACGTCATTTTCAGAAGATTGAAGAGGTGTTAAATGGCTATGTAACTAGCCCAAACCCTACCCCTACTCTAACCCCTAACCCTAACCGCAATCCTAACTCTAACCCTAACCCTAACCAAATTAATTAAAAAATCCAAAACGAAACAACTTTAGAAATTGATCAAATGACGTAATGTCAGTTTGGTAGATGGAAACAAGTGAAAACCGTAGAACAATAACATAATTTGGCCACGCCCCGCAGCTTCCAAACCCTCTCCTCTATTAACTATGTCCTAACTCAATTGATAAATTAAATAATCTACACAATACGTAACTAATTATATCGCTGGCACATTTCAGTATCTGAGAGAGACAAGAATATAAACCATGTGCTTTGTTGATTGGAAGTGCTAAAATCTCAAGTTTCACTTCATCAGGAGTAATTAGATTAAAACAAACCGAATCTCGCGGAGATTTAGATTTTATAAGAAAGTCGAAATAGTGCTTTTGCGGGTCTAGTAACTGGTTAGCCAATTTATGTCCAACTGATGCAAAATGATTATTTAATATATCTGGGATATGGGTTACGTTTCTTATAAGTCTATTACCATTATTATGGTCTTTAATAGCTTGAGTGCATGCAGGATGATTTCTGAGTTTTACGATTCATAATAGTATTAATTCCTTCCCATGTTTTTTTCATATTTGTCAAATGTTTGTTAAAATATTCACAATAATAGTTTGCTTTACTTAATCGTATTAATCTTTGTATTCGATTTCTGTATATTTTATACTCAGACTGTTTTCCGTCAGCATATAGTTGATTTTTGTGTTTGATAGCTGTTCTTATTCCTTTAGTAATCCAAGGTTTCGAGAGCCGTTTAGCTTGACGACGCGATATCAGTTTGATTGGTGCGTGTTTATTCAGTATCGCATTAATTCTTTTATAAATAAAGCAAAATGTTTTATCAATATCCCTATCCCCTTTTAGGAATATTTCATCCCAATCTGTGAGAGGCAATTCATTGTTAAAATTAACAACAGAAAATTGTGAAAAGTCACGTCGTTGTTGCTTTATTAGTATTTCTATTTTATCCTTAGTTGATTTAAAAATACAGAATTGAGAGAAATGATCAGTTATATCAGAAATTCATATTCCCACTAATTGTTACTCGTTCCGGCATATTTATGAAAATATTATCTATCAATGTTGCAGAATTATTATAAACCCGAGTAGGCTTGCCTTATCAATGGAGGGAATGAGGTAACAACTTTGCAAAGATAAAAAGAAATCTCGGCTATAACAAGAGCTTTCAATTTTTAATAAATCCAGATTAAAATCTCCCATAATACATAATGATTTTCCAGTCGCTGTAAACTTTTCAATAACCTCATCAAAATATTCTTCAAATTTATGCGGAGAACCATGCTGTCTATAGATTACTCCAACAATAATATTTTTCTTTTGAACAAAAGATATTTCTATCCATAATGCTTGAAACGCTTCGTTAGAACTTTTTTCTATTACTTCATAACTTAATGACTTATTAATATACATTCCCACTCCACCAGAACTCAAAGGAGTTGGTACAAATTCGAAGTCATACCCTGGAATTTGTGGGCAATTAACATAGTTATTAGATGTGATCTTTGTTTCGGTAAGACCTATAATATTGAAGTGATAATGAAGCTCATCAAATAAATGACTTTGTAAATTTTCAAAATTTAAATTTAAGCTTCTAATATTGTTATGGAAAATAGATAAGTTTTCTTGCTGACTAGATAATGCGGCTTTGTTTTTCATTAATTTAAAACTATGAGGAGAATAATAATGGCTTTGTAATTGCTGAAATGACATATAATTATTTAGGTCTAAATTATTATCGTGCATGGTATTAAGATTAAACAAATTTAATCATGGAAGCCTGACAATTTCTCAAGGTCTCTCCTAGATTTCAACTCAGAGAACCTTTGAAGATTGAGAAATCTCCATTAAAATTATAGAAGGGTAGTTCTTTACACAACTCTCTGTTCTTGAAGCATGACTTTGGTTATGCTTAGCTAACATTTCGTTTCTGCTTTACTAAAACTAATTCTCAAGAAATACAACACACACACATACAATTTATATTATAATATTAACTTAGCTCAGTATGTGACATGAAGTTCCATTTAGCGTCGAGTTGTCATTGCTCTCAGATCAACCAGATTTTGCAAAAAGCCTTTGATACGGTTAATTATTCTATACTACTAAAAAAACTGCAACATTATGGAATTAGAGGTATAGTAAATGACTGGTTTTCATCATATTTATTAGGTTGTATGCAAACAACACAAATTGGCCAAAACATATATGCCAAAGAAGAAACCTTGTCTGGCGTTCCTCAGGGGTCGGTCTTAGGACCTTTGCTTTTTTTAATCTATATAAATGACATTTATAACTCTTCAGAAAAGCTGAAGTTTTACTTATTTGCTGCATGATGATACAAACTTGATATATGCTGATAAAAATTTAAAATTCTTAGAAATCATTGTTAACACTGAACTTTCTAAAATTCATAACTGGTTAATAGCGAACAAATTGTCTTTAAATATTAATAAATCTAACTACATTATTTTCCATCCTTATCAAAAACGGCCAGATTATGTGGTGGATCTGAAAATCTATGATATTCACTCAAAAACGTATGTTTCCTTAGAACGTAAAAATCATATTAAATATCTTGGCATTCTAATAGATTGTAACCTTTCTTGGAAATACCATACTGGGTATATCGCCTCTAAAGTTAGTAGACTGATTGGTATTATTGCAAAATTGCGATCTTTTGTTCCAGTAAATACATTAATAAATATTTATAAGTCCCTCATTCTACCTCATCTTACATACGGAATTATTTTGTGGGGTCAAGCTGCAAAATGCCATATTGACAATATTCTTAAACTTCAAAAACGTGCTATTCGACTAATATACTCTGCACATTATCGGTTTCACGCAATCCCCCTCTTTCAATCTGCAAGTATTTTACCAATAAACTTGCTTCATATTAAATCGATATCAATGCTAATGTACGACATATAAAAAACAAATGTCCCTCCAAATATTTCCGCGATGTTTACTTCTGTTGAAAAGATACACGAATATAACACTCCATCTTCTTCAATGAAAAATTTTCATGTCAAGTATACAGGTTTTGATCTACAAAAAAGATTTTTCGCAAATACGGGAGCTAGAGTTTGGAATGTGATTCCTATGGAATTACGTGAAAACTCAAAACATAATTTTCGGAAAAAAATGCATGACAAGCTTCTCCAAATGTTAGTAATGGAAGATGAATATATTGATATTTCAGTTATATTGAAGCAATTTGGAAAAACCAAAAACTGATTTTAGAAATATAAATCAAAATTTAAGATGATTAATTTTAATCTTATATTACGGATTTCGGTCTCGGCTATTATCAAAGCTATATGAGGTAAAGCATAAATGTTTTGCACGGCATTTCGACTTCAATGCCCATTCTATATGAAATATTAATAGTATTCTTTGATTATTCTTTGATTATTCTTTGTTTTGTTTATTAAGATGCTTAATGTAAACTACTGTCCATCTCGATTAGCTTTTGCTATTTATGGACAGTAATGATGTAACAGTTATATTCTTCATTATTTATTAAAAATCTTGTAAATCTTGTATTTTTCAACTTATATGCACGCGAGCTTTCAGATTCTCGAAGAAAGATAAAACCATTTTTCGCCCAACAGAATTTATATCCATTTGCTTCTTTAAATAACTTCACTTCACGCAAACGATTTTGCAACCGAGGACTTACTGTAAGTGGTCATAAAGTTGTAGCCCTTCCAATGATAATTGTTCATGGAAGCCAACATCACTAGGAGAGATCTTAAATACATTCTTTCGTGCAGCCATAACCTTTTCCTTTGAAATTCGTCTGGTGAATTTGCAAATGATTGGATTAGGTTTGTTCGGGAAATTTCTTCCCGTTGGTACCCGGTGGGCAATATCATGAATATCATAGGGAGAAATATCTTTTACACCTAGAGCTGTAAATAGACGTAGGCAAATCTCAACTGTTTCGTAAGCCCTTTCATACTCGCTGACGACAGGCATACCAACTATTTTCACATTGTAATTGAAGCTATAGTCTTCTATCGCCGCTATAGCATTTGAAATTTCTGTATACTTCTTCGATACTTCTTTTATTTCAGCTTTTATCTGGTCAAGTTCCTTCAGGACTTGATCATACTGATTACTGAGGAATTCAACTGATTTCTTTTTCTTAGACGACAAAGGTTCTTCTTGCTCGCCTGATCGGCCATTAGCGCTTCTTTCGTCGACAAGACATTTTGACTTAAATTATCTACTTTTTCCACCAAATTTTTCAATTTGAATCTTCAAATCTTCATTCTCTTCCTTTAAACGTTTAATATCTGCATTTTTAGACATTGCTAATAGTAATATAAAGTTATATAAAGCAATAAAGCTGTGAGTTAAAAAAGTCCGTTGAATATAAAAGCTGAAATTTGAGAAAAAAGTAAATTCACAATATTTACTAAAATGTGGACGTTTTTTTCAAAAAACTGACATAACTCTCTTCATTGCCACAATCGTGAACGCAGTGAGTTATAGAAAATGATAACTCTCTAACATCTTCATAATGTTAACGAGAGAGAGTTACGTCAAACCTAACTCTCTCATGTTAGTTCAAGGAAACATCGGGAGAGTTAAGAAATTGGGTGTGGTCGTTGGGAAAAGTGGGCGTGGTTCGAACATAACTCTCCGAAATCATAACTCTCCGAGATAACTCTCCACTTCATAACTCTCCGTTTAGCCGGTCTCTATTTAATCATCTCATATATCACTCGTCAGAATATGACAAGCAAAGTCTAGCAGCTTATAAATATCTTTTACATATCGTACGCATTTTAATGTGCGTTTTATATGCTAGACGGAGATTAGGATTATTACTTATATTTTCCGTACTAGTTATTGGCCCTTATTGTTGATACAGGGTCTGGATGTTCTTCAGTAGGACCATTTTGTCGGCCAACAAAATTAAGGCTACATATACAGTATAAGTACGAGGTGAACTTATTATAATACTCGTAAGCTTTCGTTTGTTGTTTATATTATTAAATATATCAAGCCACATTGATTGTGACAATCAATACAGCAATAAATTACATACATTGGTCATTGCTGTTTACAGCGGTAGAAACGAGAGTATATACAGTCTACCCGCGGCGCAGAACACAAACTATAAGCTATAAACAACTAGAGTACGTTATAGCAAGATCGAGATCCATGCACTTGTGCATTTCAGCATACGTGAAAATTGTGCCTGTGAAAATTCCAGAATAACTTAATGCAAATCAGGCCTACTGCAATCGTCGCGTTTCCCGTGTTCCAATGTTTGAAACATGCCTAGAACTTGTATAAGTTCAGCTTTGTAAAATATATGCGCCAAATATATTAATTTCCAATTCCGCAAAATACTATTCGATATTCTCTAAAATATTCGAGTAGACTTCGTTTTCCCCTGGCTACAGTACATCGGCAACAATACTAAGCAAGTAGCTAACAAAGTATACATGTATGCATGCATGGAAAATATTCGGCCGGTCAATCTTTTGAAATAACTCAACGTTTTGGGGTTAGTGCACGGGAAACCAAAAACTCACAGTTGATAGGTATTGTTAAAACCTCTTGGAAAATAGTTTAATTTGAATTTATATGCATGTCGTTACTTGAGTTTAGAAAATGAAGTAACAAGCTTGCTAAATAGTCCGAGTATTCCCTACAGTAGGCGTCAGCTTGTATCACACAATAATGCATACAGTATATATGTTGTACAATGATACACGAAACTTTATATGGTATATATGAACAACCAAATGGAGGTCCTAAATTTCAGTTTTATCAGTTTTGTAGTGCAGCTAAATAATGTCTTCAACGCTTTCTTCGTGATATATTTGCCAGTAATTAACTAGACTTGCTCCAAGTCTCTCTTTCGTTCTTATATAATATCGATCCACTATTGTGTACATTACATGACGTAGTACGGAGGGGCGGAGCGAGAAAGAGAGACTTGTCAACTTCGGAAAATCTCGGTTCAAAACTGAACCGAAAATTCAAGACTTGCTTTAATTGTTTTCTGTCAGTGTTTATATATGTATTGATCTAACACAGTGTAAATAACATAAGTTCCATTATAGTAAATAATACAAAAAGAAATTGAAGGAAAACAATTAAAGCAAGTATTGCATTATCGGTTCAGTTTTGAACCGAGATTTTCCGAAGTTGACAAGTCTCTCTTTCTCGCCCCGCCTCTCCGTGCTACGTCATGTAATGTACACTATAGTGGATCGATACTATATGACAATGAAAGAGAGACTTGGAGCAAGTCTAGTAATTAACGCGTCCGATGGAAGAGTCGATTAATGTCATTGACATTGAAAGAAAAAAAAACTCATTACTTGCCATGCATGCACCGTTGGGCAGCTTTTTCGGGCGTTCTACGACCTGTATTAGCGACTTTAAGATAACCGACTACGGAGCTGTATGCTCATATAACGTTTATCTCGCTCGATGTCATTTATAACAATATCCCAAACTGGACCATTTTGCCTATATACTGTTCATTCATTAATTAAATATTCAATAAGGCCCTTCAGTACTTCTCCAATGCGTCTGACTCGTCTCGGAGCCATGCTTCAGTTTTTAGTTCTTTTTAGTACAAGTAACTAAATGTACGTCTTGACTTAACTTTATATTTTTATTCCCTTTGGGCTTTTCAATTTGTAAAAAAATGTCATGACTCATGATCATGCAAATCAACTCTTGTTTATTTAATTACATATTCGTTCGCTCTCGTCTTTACTCGTCCGATGCGCACGAGATTAATTATGCAATCCAATCAGATTTTAGCTTTTGACCAAAAGCATTATACCTGCTTATTTTTCACCCTGCTCGGTTTCCTTTGTTCTTGTCGGGCAATATATTCAATATTCCCCTCTAATCAATTTCCATTTAATAATATTCACCCCTCTAATATTCACCTGCAATGTGTTTGCAGCACAAAAAATGAGAAAAAACAACATCGCGAAGGCAAAATGGCATTAAGAATTATTTCTTTTCTGACTCATTAACGTGACCTCGCAGTGTGAAAAATAAGTACGTTATTTTGAGGCACCTCGGGGATATGTGTTTATACACCTCGGCGCTGCGCGCCTCGGTGAATAAATCACATATCCCCTCGTTGCCTCAAAATAACCTATACATATTCGTTCGTTCTCGTGCTACGGTGCAGGTTAACTAGTAGGAGTCTTCTCTCCCACACCGGTGTGGATATACAGTCAGAGTAACATCACAAGCATCATATCCACCTGAGTACATTACACCAACACAGTAAAATCATGATTACTAGATTACATTGATATCGAAGGAACTAGATTCTGTTCCTAAATATAACATACTCGAACGGACCTGACCGCGTAGCTTGAGTTGGCAGAGTACTGGGCTAGTATTCCAAAGGTCGTAGGTTCGATTCCCACCGTGGCCAGGCATATTTCTCAAGCATGCCTGGTGTGGATAGACACTCAGAGTAACATCACAAGCATCATATTCACCTGAGTACATTACACCAACACAGAAAAATCGTTAAGCTAAGCATTATCACGTCTTTCTAGCAACGTGAAAGCTTATTGCGACCCAAGAGGTGTTACTTAAAGTCGAAATTACAGCAAACATTGCATCGCTTTAGTCGAACTTAGCAGTTTGTAATGTTTTTGAAAAATCTTCAAACATTTATTTTAATACAGTAATGAAATTGCTTAGCGCTCATTCTTGAGCTGAAATTCAGACCGCGTCGTGGATCTTAAGCTCTCTGATGAAAACATGTATTGTGAAATTAGTGAAGATAAAATCGCAGTTTGTGAGAAAAAAATGGGAAATTCTGTATATAGCTCGCTCTTCAGTTATAAACAAGACGCCTGCTCAGGCGTTCACACTGACCTGAAAATGACGACATACATGCTATGGTGCAATACTGACACAGGAAAGGCTGAAAGCGTGGCGTGATCCTGAGGAGATATTTTCGTAATGTCCAATGAAACACAAGTATTACTCAAAAATACAAACGTTATCCATAAATGCACATGGTCTCTGACCATACGATGCGCTATAAACGCAGACAACATTGTTAAAGTTTACATTATGTGAGTCCGTATTACCGGTATTTTTACGGTATAAAATTCGAGAAACTTGGCAATCCAGATATCGCATTTCCAGAGAGGTTGCACGAAATAAAAACACGAAGTAAATTTCCAAGAAAGTGCAGAGTGGGAGAAATCCAAAATCTACACGAAAACGCGGTAAATTCGTTGACAAATGAAGAAATAGTTTGAGACTGAAATAGTCACTCATTAAATGGCCGCCATCTTGAAAATTGATCTGTATAGTAAACTGGAACGACTAGCACACTGGAAACTGAGTCTGCGATGCACTGATGGAAACTCCATTTCTCAACGACGAAAACTACAAACCCCACAGAAAACTGGTGATTTATGACACTTGACCTTTCAGGTCAGTGTAATAAGGTCAGTGGTATGCACGTCGAGGGTCCACGGTCCACGTCGAGTCTCGTCACTTGGCCTCCTGTGATTGAATAATTGGATTACTCATCATGAGCTAGATTATTACTGACGGTCGTCAAGTTTAGATTAGTATATGTGATTAAGATTAGATTGGATTAGATTAGGGTAAGATTATATTAGGGTTAGAGGTTAGAGTTGGGGTTAGATTATGGTTAGGTTCATCTATCCCAATAAGTTATTGCATACCGATCGGTTTACAATAGGCATCCGCGACACCTATTTTTTACCGCATATAGCCTACAGCTATTTCAATTAAGGTTGTCCACGAGCAAAGCGGAAAAGTCGAAGACGAGTGCGAAAGGCTGCTGGGAATCGCTAACAAATTAATGAATTTTCAAAGCGATTCCCAGCAGCCTTTCGCGCTCATATTCGACTTTTCCGCTTTGCTCGTAGACAACCTTAATTGAAATAGCTGTAGGCTATATGCGGTAAAAAATAGGTGTCGCGGATGCCTATTGTAAACCGATCGGTATGCAATAACTTATTGGGATAGATGAACCTAACCATAATCTTAATTCTATACGCTTAATATACGCTTATAAGCGTGAATTACGGGCGTATCGCGTGAATAGGGCTATCGACATGGTTCACTATTGAACTATCGATATGGTTCATATCTACATATATATGAGACACAAACGGCTATCTACCAC